ACCCATAAACTTACACAGCGACCCATAGATTCACACCAGAGACCCATAGATTCACACAGAGACCCATAGACTCAAACAAAGACCCATAAACTCACACAGAGACCCATAGACTCACACAGAGACCCATAGACTCACACAGAGACCCATAAACTCACACAGCAGAGACCCATAGACTCACAAAGAGACCCATAGATTCACAGAGAGAACCATAGACTCATAGAGAGACCCATAGACTTACACTGAGACCCACAGACTCACAAAGAGACCCATAGACTCACAAAGAGACCCATAGACTCACAGCAGAGACCCATAGACTCACAGCAGAGACCCATAGACTCACACAGAGACCCATAGACTCACACAGAGACCCATAGACTCACAAAGAGACCCATAGATTCACAGAGAGAACCATAGACTCATAGAGAGACCCATAGACTCACACAGAGACCCATAGACTCACAAAGAGATCCATAAACTCACAAAGAGACCCATAGACTCACAGAGTGACCCATAGACTCACACAGAGACACATAGACTCAAACAGTGACCCATAGATTCACACAGCAGAGACCCATAGATTCACACAAAGACCCATAGTTTGTTGGCCTTCCCCCGGACCTCAGATTAGCACGGTTGGCTGCGTACGGTACGAAAGAAGTTCAACACACGTGCAGACGCGTTCTGTGCCTTGGCTTCAACTGCGTAATCAATCTCGACCATGGTCCTTCGTCCGGACTGGCCGTGGCACGTGCAAGGCCGAGCTCCACCTCACTTATCTCAACAGTCTGAATGATGATTGCATCTAACCTGTGTTCCCAAGTCCAGCATGTTCCTCTCCCTGTCTCTCATAGCCCGAGCGAATTAATGACGTTCTAGAAGTGCTACAGAGCTGGGTTACGTGAATTCAAGTGGTGTTCTGGAAGGGATGGAGAGCTGAGTTATGTGAATCCTAGTGATGTTGTAGAAGGGATAGAGAGCTGAGTGATGTGAATTCTAGTGATGTTGTAGAAGGGATAGAGAGCTGAGTGATGTGAATTCTAGTGACGTTCTAGAAGGAACAGACAGCTGAGTGAAGTGAATTCTAGTGATGTTGTAGAAGGGATAGAGAGCTGAGTGATGTGAATTCTAGTGATGTTGTAGAAGGGATAGAGAGCTGAGTGATGTGAATTCTAGTGACGTTCTAGAAGGGATAGAGAGCTGAGTGATGTGAATTCTAGTGACGTTCTAGAAGGAACAGACAGCTGAGTGAAGTGAATTCTAGTGATGTTCTAGAAGGGACAGACAGCTGAGTGAAGTGAATTCTAGTGATGTTCTAGAAGGGACAGAGAGCTGAGTGATGTGAATTCTAGTGGTGTTGTAGAAGGGATAGAGAGATGAGTGTTGTGAATTCTAGTGATGTTCTAGAAGGGATAGAGAGCTGAGCGATGTGAATTCTAGTGACGTTCTAGAAGGGACAGAGAGCTGAGCTATGTGAATTCTAGTGATGTTGTAGAAGGGATAGAGAGCTGAGTGATGTGAATTCTAGTGATGTTGTAGAAGGGATAGAGAGCTGAGTGATGTGAATTCTAGTGACGTTCTGGAAGGGATAGAGAGCTGGGTGATGTGAATTCTAGTGATGTTCTAGAAGGGATAGAGAGCTGAGCGATGTGAATTCTAGTGATGTTCTAGAATGGATAGAGAGCTGAGCGATGTGAATTCTAGTGATGTTCTAGAAGAGATAGAGAGCTGAGTGATGTTAATCCTAGTGACGTTCTAGAAGGGATAGAGAGCTGAGTGATGTGAATTCTAGTGATGTTCTAGAAGGGATAGAGAGCTGAGTGATGTGAATTCTAGTGACGTTCTGGAAGGGATAGAGAGCTGGGTGATGTGAATTCTAGTGATGTTCTAGAATGGATAGAGAGCTGAGCGATGTGAATTCTAGTGATGTTCTAGAAGAGATAGAGAGCTGAGTGATGTGAATTCTAGTGACGTTCTAGAAGGGATAGAGAGCTGAGTGATGTGAATTCTAGTCATGTTCTAGAAGGGATAGAGAGCTGAGTGATGTGAATTCTAGTGATGTTCTAGAAGGGATAGAGAGCTGAGTGATGTAATTTACAACACAGTCAATGCATTGTCACCATAGGCAAACATCCGTATCATCTACGTCAGCGGACTTCAACCAACAGCACACATTACACATTACCATATGCCAAGAGCCAGTACACCTGTGTCTTTTAAAACAACTATATAAACACTGCCATGATCCCGGCGACCTGAGTTTTAATTCCTGACCACGGCTAACGTCACCGCCGAGTGATGTCAGAACAGGTCCTGGGCCTCCCCCCAATTCTCCCTTCATCAACCTGCATTGACCAGCGTGGTGAAGTATAGTCAATCCTCATGAACCAACACGACGTCGGAAGGAGGCCTTCATCCGGCAGTGGATAGACCACCGCTGCCGACGATGATGATGATGATGATAACCATCAGACATTATATTAAATTATCATTAAAAAAACATTTCCGCTAACTTCTTTCGCGCCGTACGTAGCTAATGAACGCTGCTATGGGCGAGTTAGCGGATGGGTGAGTTCGTGGCTGGGTGGTTGAGTCTGCAAGTGAATGGCTGAGTGAACGAGTGAATGGGTGAGGCAGCTAGTGAATGGGTGAGGGAGCGAGTGAATGGGTGAGGGGGCGAGTGAATGGGTGAGGGAGCGAGTGAATGGGTGAGTGGGCGAGTGAATGGGTGAGGGGGCGAGTGAATGGGTGAGTGGGCGAGTGAATGGGTGAGTGGGCGAGTGAATGGGTGAGGGGGCGAGTGAATGGGTGAGTGGGCGAGTGAGTGGGTGAGTGGGCGAGTGAATGGGTGAGTGGGCGAGTGAATGGGTGAGTGGGCGAGTGAATGGGTGAGTGGGCGAGTGAATGGGTGAGTGGGCGAGTGAATGGGTGAGGGAGCGAGTGAATGGGTGAGTGGGCGAGTGAATGGGTGAGTGGGCGAGTGAATGGGTGAGTAGGCGAGTGAATGGGTGAGTGGGCGAGTGAGTGGGTGAGGGGGCGAGTGAATGGGTGAGTGAGCGAGTGAATGGGTGAGAGGGTGAGTGAGCGAGTGAATGGGTGAGTGGGTGAGTGGGCGAGTGAATGGGTGAGTGGGCGAGTGAATGGGTGAGTGGGCGAGTGAGTGGGTGAGTGGGCGAGTGAATGGGTGAGTGGGCGAGTGAATGGGTGAGTGGGCGAGTGAATGGGTGAGTGGGCGAGTGAATGGGTGAGGGGGCGAGTGAATGGGTGAGTGGGCGAGTGAATGGGTGAGTGAGCGAGTGAATGGGTGAGTGAGCGAGTGAGTGAGCGAGTGAATGGGTGAGTGGGCGAGTGAATGGGTGAGTGGGCGAGTGAATGGGTGAGTGGGCGAGTGAATGGGTGAGTGGGCGAGTGAATGGGTGAGTGGGCGAGTGAATGGGTGAGTGGGCGAGTGAATGGGTGAGTGGGCGAGTGAATGGGTGAGTGGGCGAGTGAATGGGTGAGTGGGCGAGTGAATGGGTGAGGGAGCGAGTGAATGGGTGAGTGGGCGAGTGAATGGGTGAGTGGGCGAGTGAATGGGTGAGTAGGCGAGTGAATGGGTGAGTGGGCGAGTGAGTGGGTGAGGGGGCGAGTGAATGGGTGAGTGAGCGAGTGAATGGGTGAGAGGGTGAGTGAGCGAGTGAATGGGTGAGTGGGTGAGTGGGCGAGTGAATGGGTGAGTGGGCGAGTGAATGGGTGAGTGGGCGAGTGAGTGGGTGAGTGGGCGGGTGAGGGGGCGAGTGAATGGGTGAGTGGGCGAGTGAATGGGTGAGTGGGCGAGTGAATGGGTGAGGGGGCGAGTGAATGGGTGAGTGGGCGAGTGAATGGGTGAGTGAGCGAGTGAATGGGTGAGTGAGCGAGTGAGTGAGCGAGTGAATGGGTGAGTGGGCGAGTGAATGGGTGAGTGGGCGAGTGAATGGGTGAGTGGGCGAGTGAATGGGTGAGTGGGCGAGTGAATGGGTGAGTGGGTGAGTGAATGGGTGAGTGGGCAAGTAACAGGGTAAACCGTATGGGTTGACACGGTATGTCAGAGCAGGAAAATAAAGTCGAGTCGCCAGGTTTGTAGTACGGCGCTAACCGCTACACCACCGCTCCCGAACGAAAGATATCAATTCAACATACGTACAAGCACACATAAAGTAGGCACTGATAAGGGATTGACAGGTATGTTACAGTGTAGTGTATCATGTAGTGTATCATGTAGTGTATAGTAGTGTATATAGTAGTGCATTGTGTAAGTGGAGTGTATAGTGTAGTGTATAGTAGTGTATAGTGTCGTGTACAGTGTAGTATATAGTGTAGTGTATAGCAGTGTAGCGTGCAGTTTAGTGTATAGTGTAGTGTATAGTAGTGTACAGTAGTGCATAGTGTAGTGTGTAGTCGTATATAGTGTAGTGCATAGTAGTGTAGCGTATAGTAGTGTAATGTATAGTGTAGCGTAAAGTAGTGTAGTGCATACTGTAGCGTAAAGTAGTGTAGTGCATACTGTAGCGTAAAGTAGTGTAGTGCATACTGTAGCGTAAAGTAGTGTAGTGCATACTGTAGCGTAAAGTAGTGTAGTGCATACTGTAGCGTAAAGTAGTGTAGTGCATACTGTAGCGTAAAGTAGTGTAGTGCATACTGTAGCGTAAAGTAGTGTAGTGCACAGTGTAGCGTACAAAGTAGTGTAAAGTGTAGCTCATAGTAGCGCGGTGTCTGAATTGTTCCGCAACAAAGGTAGGGGCGGGCACAACTGATCAGGGTACTTGCTGGGGGACTTGGGGGCTGACAGAAAGCCAACGGAGTAGTAGGCGACACCGCGGCTGGACTGGGCCGCTGATGATCATGATGATGATGATGCCCACCCCCCACCATCAAATGAACGTCAACACGACCACCACAGGCAAACGAGAGAGGTCGGACCTCGCAAACCCCGCGAGCCTCCCGTCAAAACCACCCCCGACCCTCACCCTCACCCTGACCCTCACCTCCGCACTCCACGCGGAGCCCGCCCAGGGCCTGCAGAACGAAGCTGACATCGCCGCCGCCGCCGCCCGACTCCGAGGCGACCGGGGGAGGCCCCGCGGGTGGTGGCGGCGTCGTCGTCGTCGGCCGGCGTCCACGCGCCAGCGTGCGGCAAGCGAAGTAGGCGAGGGCGTAGGCTTCATCCTCGGTGGCAGGCCTCCGTAGGAGATCGAACGCTTCGGAGAGCCGGAGTTCTTCTCCCCTCGTTGCTAATCCTCCCGGAGTCTCGCACATGTCGGCATTATATTTTTTTATATTTGTTTGTTTAAAAAAAAAAAACAATTTAAACTTCTGTTGAATTGTAAAATTATTACTCGGGGGGGGGAAAAAAATTAAACGACTTTTTTTTTGCGTGTGGGGCGATCGGTGTCACCGCTGAGGTAAATTAAATTAAACAAAACAAACAAACAAAAAGTCTCCTTTTTAGTTTAATTCGTTCTCGAGATGATGAGAGGTGAGATGAGAGGTGAGCTGAGAGAGACACGGGACACGGCCTTGGGCCTTCATCATCCAGCAGTGGAGAGAGCGACGGGACTTCGGCCCGGACTGACGGGAGTTGACACCGCGAAAACTGACGGCCGTTGCCTGGCAACGTCGGGGGTGGGGTGGGGGGGTCGTAGAGGGGGGCGGGGTCGAAGTAGCGGGTAGGAGGGGGGAGTCACAGGGTGGGGGTGGTGGGGGGGGTTGTGGGAGGAGTCAAAGTGGAGGGTAGGGGGGAGAGTGGGGGGTGGGGGTGGTAGGGGGGGGGGTCGAGGTGCAGAGTGGGGGGGGGGGGGAAGTGGGGGTTGGGGGTCGGGAGGGAAATGGGGGGGGGGAGGTGGGGGGGGGTAGAGGGTGGGGGTGGTGGGGGGGGGGAAGTGGGGAGGTAGGGGTTGTGGGAGGGGTCAAAGTGGTGGGTGGGGGGGAAGTGGAGGGTGGGGGGGGTGGGGGTTGGGGGGGTGGGGGAAGTGGGGTGTGGGGTGGTAGAGGGGGGAGGGGTCGAAGTGGAGGGTGGGGGGAAAGTGGGGGGGTAGAGGGTGGGGGTGGTGGGGGGTGGGGTTTGTGGGAGGGATCAAAATGGTAGGTGGGGGGGAAGTGGGGGTTGGGGGGGGAGAGGGTGGGGGAAGTGGGGGGTGGGGTGGTAGGGGGGGTCGAAGTGCAGAGTGGGGGGGGGGGTGGGGGTTGGGGGGGAGTGGGGGGTAAAGTGGGGGATGGGGGTCAGGGGGTGGGTAGGAAGTGGGGGGGGGGGGTAAGTGGGGGGTAGGGATGGGAAGGTGGGGGGTAGGGGGGAAGTGGAGTTGGGGAAGTGGGGGGTGGTGGGGGGGGCGAAGTGGAGGGTGGGGATGGGGGAAGTGGAGGGTGAGGGAGGAAGTGGGGGGTGGTGGGGGGAATAGAGGGTGGGGGGAGTGGGGGTTGGTGGGGGGAGTAGAGGGTGGGGGGTGGTGGGGGAAGTGGGGGGTGGTGGGGGCTCGTGTAAGTGGTAGGGGGAGCGTGCGGGTGGCACAGGTGGTGAGGCATCGGCCAATCGTCTCAGTCAACTCCACGGCAGCTGCTGGGTCTGTCCCGTGACCTCCTGCACCTAGCCTGGCACAGCAGTCAACTCCACGTCACCTGCTGGGTCTGTCCCGTGACCTCCTCCTGCACCTAGCCTGGCACAGCAGTCAACTCATGGCACCTGCTGGGTCTGTCCCATGACCTCCTGCACCTAGCCTGGCACAGCAGTCAACTCATGGCATCTGCTGGGTCTGTCCTTTGACCTCGTGCACATAGCCTGCGGATGTAGATGTAGATGCCACTGGTTCTTCACGTTCTAGAGATGTAGATGCCACTGGTTCTTCAGGTTCTGCAGATGTAGATGCCACTGGTTCTTCACGTTCTAGAGATGTAGATGCCACTGGTTCTTCACGTTCTAGAGATGTAGATGCCACTAGTTCTTCACGTTCTGAAGATGTTGATGCCACTGGTTCTTCACGTTCTAGATATGTAGATGCCACTGGTTCTTCACGTTCTGCAGATGTAGATGCCACTGGTTCTTCACGTTCTAGATATGTAGATGCCACTGGTTCTTCACGTTCTAGAGATGTAGATGCCACTGGTTCTTCACGTTCTAGAGATGTAGATGCCACTGGTTCTTCACGTTCTGAAGATGTTGATGCCACTGGTTCTTCACGTTCTAGAGATGTAGATGCCACTGGTTCTTCACGTTCTGCAGATGTAGATGCCACTGGTTCTTCACGTTCTAGAGATGTAGATGCCACTGGTTCTTCACATTCTGCTGATGTAGATACCACTGGTTCTTCACGTTCTATAGATGTAGATGCCACTGGTTCTTCACGTTCTAGAGATGTAGATGCCACTGGTTCTTCACATTCTGTAGATGTAGATGCCACTGGTTCTTCACGTTCTAGAGATGTAGATGCCACTGGTTCTTCACGTTCTGCAGATGTAGATGCCACTGGTTCTTCACGTTCTAGAGATGTAGATGCCACTGGTTCTTTACGTTCTAGAGATGCAGATGCCACTGGTTCTTCACGTTCTCGAGATGTAGATGCCACTGGTTCTTCACGTTCTAGAGATGTAGATGCCACTGGTTCTTCAGGTTCTGCAGATGTAGATGCCACTGGTTCTTCACGTTCTAGAGATGTAGATGCCACTGGTTCTTCACGTTCTAGAGATGCAGATGCCACTGGTTCTTCACGTTCTGTAGATGTACTGTAGATGCCACTGGTTCTTCACGTTCTGCAGATGTAGATGCCACTGATTCTTCACGTTCTAGAGATGTAGATGCCACTGGTTCTTCACGTTCTGTATATGTAGATGCCACCACCACCGCTATTTCGCAGGCTGTCGAACTTGCGAACTCTCTTTCCGAACAGCTGCAACTGGACTACACGGGACCATGGTTTTGTTCGTATCTCTGAAAGTTCGTAAGTCGGAAAGTTGTTCGTAAGTAAAGATCTATAAGTATATTGGGGTCATCCTGGATTCAAAACTGAAGTTTGAAGATCACACTGATTATATTGGTAAAAAGACAAAAATAAAAATTGGTTTTCTGTATCGACACAAGCACTGCTTCCCCCCAATGTTCCGTTTGGAATTGATAAAAGCTACCATACTGCCTCTACTTGACTACTGTGACGTCGTGTATAAATTAGCCCCAAGTACTGAAGAAGCTTGATTCCATCTATCACTCGGCCTTAAGATTTGCATTGAACTGCCCATATAGGACTCACCACTGTGATCTCTACATTGGGTCAAAACTTAACGTCTCTAAATGTTCCGACGGCTTGTGCACCAGATCTTATTTATTCACGATGTACTTATAAAAAAATCCACAGACTACCTGCTGCTGGATCTCCTCTCTGTTTCAAAGAACAATTTTGACCTCAGGTGTTGGCTCATTTACCAGCTTCACATTCCCTTAATGCCGTACAAAAACTGGAGGAAGGGCCTTTGCTATTGATGCCCCCAGGGTCTGGAATGCTACTGCTAATAAAGTGCAACTTGAATCGCTACCAATGAGATCTTCACTCAAAACTGCTCTAGAGGAGTTGTACAACCCCTAGCTGCCACTGCTATTCAGTGGCCTAAAATATGGCTCTAGATTTTGGTGTTATAATTTATTTATGTAGTTTATTGTAAAAAAAATTCGGTCACAGTCCCTATGATCACTGTTTTTGGTGATTTCGAAAACGTTTTTTTTGGGCCATATTTTTGTTGATTGTAGTACGGAGTTAGACTGATGGCCTTAATCTTAGTTGTCTTGTGGTTTTTGTTGTTGTTAGTTGACTTGCATCCCACTGGGATTTTTGCACACAGCGTTGGTGTATACGGTGATATTTCAGGAATATTTTGATATTTTTTTTCCTGTATTTTCTGTTTGCACAGTCACACAAAGTCACTTTAAGATGTTTTTCTTGTTCATGTTTTTTGTTTGTTGCGGTTGCACCCGATTCAAGAGCTGAATGGCTCACAGGGCTCGATACCAAAAAAAAAAACTATGAAACTATGAAACTATTTCTGCAAACTTAACTATGAAAAGTCAGATTGTTCGTAAGTCGATTCTTGGATCTAATTAAAATCGCCTGGAATCGATTCTCGGTTGCGCGCTCATCACCTGTTCGTCTGCCCGCTGACCGCACGACATCGCGCGACGTCGTGACGTCAACGCGTCCTTGCGTGTCGTCATCGCGCAAGCCCACGACGCGTGACGTCGACTGCACCCGAGAGCCGTGCGTGACGTCACCGCGCCGCTGCGAACTGCCGCCCGCCCACGCCCTCCGTATTGCGACGTCACCACGCATACGCGCGTTACTTGCGTGGTGACGTCACCACGCAAAACCCTTGCGTGGTGACGTCACCATGCCGTCCCCCTCCTTCTCCCCCGTCGCGTGCAAAGTCCGATCCGAGAGGGAGGGAGGGGGACGGCGTGGGGACGTCTCCACGCAAAGCCCTCGCGTGGTGACGTCACTACGCAAAGCCCTAGCGTAGTGACGTCACCACGCCGTCTCCCTTCTTCTCCCCCGTCGCGTGCAAAGTCCGATCCGAGAGGGAGGGGAGACGGCGTGGTGACGTCACCACGCAAAGCTCTCGCGTGGTGACATCACTACGCAAAGCCCCTGCATAGTGACGTCACCACGCCGTCCCCCCCCCCCCTCCCTCTCCCCCGTCGCGTGCAAAGTTCGATCCGAGAGGCAGAGAGAGAGAGAGGCGATGGCGTCCTTGGGAGAAGTGGACACCTCGTCGGGTGTGGTGAAGTACTTCTCGCTGGACGAAGTGAAGAAGAGGGAGGACGGCGGGGTGACGCCACCACGCAAGGGCTTTGCGTGGTGACGTCACCATGCCGTCCCCCCCCTGCCTCTCCCCCGTCGCGTGCAAAGTCCGATCCGAGGGGGAACGGCGTGGTGACGTCATCACGTCGTCCCCCCTGCCTCTCCCCCGTCGCGTGCAAAGTCCGATCCAAGGGGGAACGGCGTGGTGACGTCACCACGCAAAGCCCTTGCGTGGTGACGTCACCACGCCGTCCCCCCCCCTGCCTCCCTCTCCCCCGTCGCGTGCAAAGTTCGATCCGGGAGGCAGAGAGAGAGAGAGAGGCGATGGCGTCCTTGGGAGAAGTGGACACCTCGTCGGGTGTGGTGAAGTACTTCTCGCTGGACGAAGTGAGGAAGAGAGGGAGGACGGCGTGGTGATGTCACCACGCAAAAATCTAGCGTGGTGACATCACCACGCAAAGCCCTTGCGTGGTGACGTCACCACGCCGTCCCCCCTGCCTCCCTCTCCCCCGTCGCGTGCAAAGTCCGATCCGAGGGGGAACGGCGTGGTGACGTCACCACGCAAAACCCTAGCGTGGTGACATCACCACGCAAAGCCCTTGCGTGGTGACGTCACCACGCCGTCCCCCCTGCCTCCCTCTCCCCCGTCGCGTGCAAAGTTCGATCCGAGAGGCAGAGAGAGAGAGGCGATGGCGTCCTTGGGAGAAGTGGACACCTCGTCGGGTGTGGTGAAGTACTTCTCGCTGGACGAAGTGAGGAAGAGAGGGAGGACGGCGTGGTGACGTCACCACGCAAGGGCTTTGCGTGGTGACGTCACCACGCCGTCCCCCCTGCCTCCCTCTCCCCCGTCGCGTGCAAAGTCCGATCCGAGGGGGAACGGCGTGGTGATGTCACCACGCAAAACCCTAGCGTGGTGACATCACGACGCAAAGCCCTTGCGTGGTGACGTCACCACGCTGTCCCCCCTGCCTCCCTCTCCCCCGTCGCGTGCAAAGTTCGATCCGAGAGGCAGAGAGAGAGAGGCGATGGCGTCCTTGGGAGAAGCGGACACCTCGTCGGGTGTGGTGAAGTACTTCTCGCTGGACGAAGTGAAGAAGCACAACTCGTGCAGGACCACCTGGGTCGTCATCCACCACAAAGTCTACGACCTCACCAAGTTCCTCGAGGAGGTGAGCGGCTTGTGCAGTGGTTAGTGGTGGTTTGTGGTAGTGGTGGTGGTGGTAGTGGTGGTGGTGGTAGTGGTGGTAGTGGTGGTGGTAGTGGTGGTGGTTAGTGGTGGTGGTTAGTTGTGGTGGTTAGTAGTGGTGGTTAGTAGTGGTGGTTAGTGGTGGTGGTTAGTGGTGGTGGTTAGTGGTGGTGGTTGGTGGTGGTTAATAGTGGTGGTGGTGGTTAGTGGTGGTGGTTAGTTGTGGTGGTTAGTGGTGGTGGTTAGTGGTGGTGGTGGTTAGTTGTGGTGGTGGTTATTGGTGGTTAGTGGTGGTGGTTAGTGGTGATGGTTAGTTGTGGTAGTTAGTTGTGGTGGTGGTTAGTGGTGGTAGTGGTTAGTTGTGGTGGTTAGTTGTGGTGGTTAGTGGTGGTGGTGGTGGTGGTTAGTGGTGGTGGTTTGTGGTAGTGGGTGGTGGTGGTGGTTAGTGGTGGTGGTGGTTAGTGGTGGTGGTTAGTGGTGGTGGTTAGTGGTGGTGGTGGTAGTGGTTGGTAGTTGTTGTGGTTATAGTGGTGGTTAGTGGTGGTGGTTAGTGGTGGTGGTGGTAGTAGTGGTGGTAGTGGTTGGTAGTTGTTGTGGTGATAGTGGTGGTTAGTGGTGGTGGTTAGTGGTGGTGGTGGTAGTAGTGGTGGTAGTGGTTGGTAGTTGTTGTGGTGATAGTGGTGGTGGTAGTAGTGGTGGTAGTGGTTGGTAGTTGTTGTGGTGATAGTGGTGGTTAGTGGTGGTGGTAGAAGTGGTGGTAGTGGTTGGTAGGTGTTGTGGTGATAGTGGTGGTTAGTGGTGGTGGTTAGTGGTGGTGGTAGTAGTGGTGGTAGTGGTAGTTGTTGTGGTGATAGTGGTGGTTAGTGGTGGTGGTTAGTGGTATAGTGGTGGTGGTAGTGGTATAGTGGCCTCAAACGTAAACTCAAGACGTACTCATGGAGGAGTGAACACGTTTAGTACCATTATATTCTTGGTTCTTTCGGTAAAGTCACCACGTAGAAGGGAAACAATAAAATAATAAAAATATAAAACAATATTTTTATTATATTCTTGGTTCTTTCGGTAGTCACCACGTAGAAGGGAAACAATAAAATAATAAAAATATTTTTTTTATTATATTCTTGGTTCTTTCGGTAAAGTCACCACGTAGAAGGGAAACAATAAAATAATAAAAATATAAAACAATATTTTTATTATATTCTTGGTTCTTTCGGTAAAGTCACCACCACGTAGAAGGGAAACAATAAAATAATAAAAATATAAAAATATATTTTTATTATATTCTTGGTTCTTTCGGTAAAGTCACCACGTAGAAGGGAAACAATAAAATAATAAAAATATAAAACAATACTTTTTATTATAGTCTTGGTTCATTCGGTAAAGTCACCACCACGTAGAAGGGAAACAATAAAATAATAAAAATATAAAAATATTTTTTTATTATATTCTTGGTTCTTTCGGTAAAGTCACCACCACGTAGAAGGGAAACAATAAAATAATAAAAATATAAAACAATATTTTTTTATTATATTCTTGGTTCTTTCGGTAAAGTCACCACCACGTAGAAGGGAAACAATAAAATAATAAAAATATAAAACAATATTTTTATTATATTCTTGGTTCTTTCGGTAAAGTCACCACCACGTAGAAGGGAAACAATAAAATAATAAAAATATAAAACAATATTTTTATTACATTCTTGGTTCTTTCGGCAAGTCACCACGTAGAAGGGAAACAATAAAATAATAAAAATATAAAACAATATTTTTATTATATTCTTGGTTCTTTCGGTAAAGTCACCACGTAGAAGGGAAACAATAAAATAATAAAAATATAAAACAATATTTTTATTATATTCTTGGTTCATTCGGTAAAGTCACCACCACGTAGAAGGGAAACAATAAAATAATAAAAATATGTTTTTATTATATTCTTGGTTCTTTCGGTAAAGTCACCACGTAGAAGGGAAACAATAAAATAATAAAAATATTAAACAATATTTTTATTATATTCTTGGTTCTTTCGGTAAAGTCACCACGTAGAAGGGAAACAATAAAATAATAAAATATAAAACAATATTTTCATGATATTCTTGGTTCTTTCGGTAAAGTCACCACGTAGAAGGGAAACAATAAAATAATAAAAAATATAAAACAATATTTTTATTATATTCTTGGTTCTTTCGGCAAGTCACCACGTAGAAGGGAAACAATAAAATAATAAAAATATAAAACAATATTTTTATTATATTCTTGGTTCTTTCGGTAAAGTCACCACGTAGAAGGGAAACAATAAAATAATAAAAATATAAAACAATATTTTTATATATTCTTGGTTCTTTCGGTAGTCACCACGTAGAAGGGAAACAATAAAATAATAAAAATATGTTTTTATTATATTCTTGGTTCTTTCGGTAAAGTCACCACGTAGAAGGGAAACAATAAAATAATAAAAATATTAAACAATATTTTTATTATATTCTTGGTTCTTTCGGTAAAGTCACCACGTAGAAGGGAAACAATAAAATAATAAAAATATAAAACAATATTTTCATGATATTCTTGGTTCTTTCGGTAAAGTCACCACGTAGAAGGGAAACAATAAAATAATAAAAAAATATAAAACAATATTTTTATTATATTCTTGGTTCTTTTGGTAAAGTCACCACGTAGATAGGGAAACAATAAAATAATAAAAATATAAAACAATATTTTTATTATATTCTTGGTTCTTTCGGTAAAGTCTCCACGTAGAAGGGAACATTTTATAAAATAAGAAAAATATAAAACAATATTTTTATTACATTCTTGGTTCTTTCGGCAAGTCACCACGTAGAAGGGAAACAATAAAATAATAAAAATATAAAACAATATTTTTATTATATTCTTGGTTCTTTCGGTAAAGTCACCACGTAGAAGGGAAACAATAAAATAATAAAAATATAAAACAATATTTTTATTATATTCTTGGTTCATTCGGTAAAGTCACCACCACGTAGAAGGGAAACAATAAAATAATAAAAATATGTTTTTATTATATTCTTGGTTCTTTCGGTAAAGTCACCACGTAGAAGGGAAACAATAAAATAATAAAAATATTAAACAATATTTTTATTATATTCTTGGTTCTTTCGGTAAAGTCACCACGTAGAAGGGAAACAATAAAATAATAAAAATATAAAACAATATTTTCATGATATTCTTGGTTCTTTCGGTAAAGTCACCACGTAGAAGGGAAACAATAAAATAATAAAAAATATAAAACAATATTTTTATTATATTCTTGGTTCTTTCGGCAAGTCACCACGTAGAAGGGAAACAATAAAATAATAAAAATATAAAACAATATTTTTATTATATTCTTGGTTCTTTCGGTAAAGTCACCACGTAGAAGGGAAACAATAAAATAATAAAAATATAAAACAATATTTTTATATATTCTTGGTTCTTTCGGTAGTCACCACGTAGAAGGGAAACAATAAAATAATAAAAATATGTTTTTATTATATTCTTGGTTCTTTCGGTAAAGTCACCACGTAGAAGGGAAACAATAAAATAATAAAAATATTAAACAATATTTTTATTATATTCTTGGTTCTTTCGGTAAAGTCACCACGTAGAAGGGAAACAATAAAATAATAAAAATATAAAACAATATTTTCATGATATTCTTGGTTCTTTCGGTAAAGTCACCACGTAGAAGGGAAACAATAAAATAATAAAAAATATAAAACAATATTTTTATTATATTCTTGGTTCTTTCGGCAAGTCACCACGTAGAAGGGAAACAATAAAATAATAAAAATATAAAACAATATTTTTATTATATTCTTGGTTCTTTCGGTAAAGTCACCACGTAGAAGGGAAACAATAAAATAATAAAAATATAAAACAATATTTTTATATATTCTTGGTTCTTTCGGTAGTCACCACGTAGAAGGGAAACAATAAAATAATAAAAATATGTTTTTATTATATTCTTGGTTCTTTCGGTAAAGTCACCACGTAGAAGGGAAACAATAAAATAATAAAAATATTAAACAATATTTTTATTATATTCTTGGTTCTTTCGGTAAAGTCACCACGTAGAAGGGAAACAATAAAATAATAAAAATATAAAACAATATTTCATGATATTCTTGGTTCTTTCGGTAAAGTCACCACGTAGAAGGGAAACAATAAAATAATAAAAAAATATAAAACAATATTTTTATTATATTCTTGGTTCTTTTGGTAAAGTCACCACGTAGATAGGGAAACAATAAAATAATAAAAATATAAAACAATATTTTTATTATATTCTTGGTTCTTTCGGTAAAGTCTCCACGTAGAAGGGAACATTTTATAAAATAAGAAAAATATAAAACAATATTTTTATTATATTCTTGGTTCTTTCGGTAAAGTCACCACATAGAAGGGAAACAATAAAATAAAAAAAATATAAAACAATATTCCCAATATATTCTTGGTTCTTTCAGTAAAGTCACCACGTAGAAGGGAAACAATAAAATAATAAAAATATAAAACAATATTTTTTATTATATTCTTGGTTCTTTGGGTAAAGTCACCACCACGTAGAAGGGAAACAATAAAATAATTAAAATATAAAACAATAAAATTATCGCGACGTTTCGACTGCAACACAAGCAGCAATCATCATCAGGCGTGAAAACCACAGCAAGAACAATTTCAAATTTTCTTGCTTTACCGAAAGAACCAAGAATTTGAATCCCTGCAGTCACGAAAGTTTTAAATCAAAACGTTTGTTCCCATTAACACACAACACAAAAGTTGCCAATTGCCCCTTCACCAGCTAATAGCTTGGTGGTGGGTGACCCCCGGCTATCTATTCTATACCATTATGATACCTCCTTTCTCTGGTGTGGACCAATGAGTTTCCAAGACAATGCAAATATTCATATTCTTGGTTCTTTCGGTAAAGTCACCGCCACGTAGATAGGGAAACAATAAAATAATAAAAATA